ACACACACACACACACACACACACAAACAAACACACACACGCACACACTCACACACACACACAAACAAACACACACACCCACACACTCACACACACACACACACACACACACACACTCACTAACAAACACACACACACACACACACACACACAAACAAACACACACACGCACACACTCACACACACACACAAACAAACACACACACCCACACACTCACACACACACACACACACACACACACACTCACTAACAAACACACACACACACACACACACACACAAACAAACACACACACGCACACACTCACACACACACACAAACAAACACACACACCCACACACTCACACACACACACACACACACACACACACTCACTAACAAACACACACACACACACACACACACACAAACAAACACACACACGCACACACTCACACACACACACAAACAAACACACACACACACGCACACACACGCACACACACACACACACACACACGCACACACACACACGTCAACATCTAGTACTTGAGATTACAAACAAGTAATGAGTACTACGATACAGAGCTGATATCAACTACAATTGCAAAATCAACCAATCAAGGGCTCAGGGGTGAATGGAAGATGATGCTACTCCTCTGAGGGAGTTTTAAGATCCTTGCACACTGACTCTGTATTCGTCATCCTTTCCTATCAGAATGCTTGCTAAAACGCAGGCAGTGTGTAAACATGATTGACACAATGTGAGGTCGTATTTATTTTTAACGTGCAAAACTTTTGGACTCAGTGTGCAATGAGCTTTACTGTGAAAGTGTCTATGCCAGCTCAGTAATTACAGCACCACTGCTAAAAACACTTAGCTGACTCGTTAGTCATCCATTGTGACTTAGGCACTTGAACCTGAACATGGCTTAACATCAATTAAAATAAGACAAACAAGCACTAAAGTAATCCAAAACAATAAAGATATTTGCTATTTTGATTCACGCTATCAACAACTGATATACCAGGGAGATTCATTTTAAAACTGTGATTTCTAGACTTGGAAAAATTCATGGAAATTAATAAAATATTATTACTCCACTGGCATTTTTATAATAAATATACAGTTTTCATTTAAACTTTCAAGGCCTAAAATGTGTATAATCAGGTCTAAATTGTGAGTAAAAAAAAATAAAAATCTTATCCAGTATATCAGGACAGTTTCTTATACTAAAACATAAAAACAATGTTGTTCCTTGAAATAACATATAAAAAAAAAACATTTAAAAAAAACATTTTCAGTTACTATATAGACATACCACATACATATATATATTAGGGCTGGTAATTTAACGCGTTAATTAGATTAATTAATAGACCTACGTGGGTCACCTGACATTTCATACAGCTGTTTGATGACGAATATGAGGCAGAGCAACAACTCACTGCATGATGGAGCCTAGAGAACATAGTTAGAATGTCCCTAAAACTCAAGATATGGGGCAAAAATGCCCGTTTGAGTTTTTGTCTCATATTTACAGCATATAGTTAAGCAATATCACACGAGTGCAAATGTGATACTGATCTTATCCAAGGGTTGTGAAATTTTCCCACCGGTTAATCGACGTGTGTAGACTTGTGCCGGTATTCGGTAATGCGATATATCACGGTAATGAATATGCACGATATTGTTATCGTGGGCACTTCTAAATACCGTGAATAATTATATATTACAAATTATTCCGAATTTTGAATGCATTTTAAGAATACTTTTCCCATCAACTGGTCAGAATGCACAACAGCGCTATACGCTGCGTGAGAGACGCGCGCGCACCCTGATGTAAACAAGCGCGGACGAGAAGCACACGGCGGAACACGTGAGAGACGCACTTTCACTCTCTGACAGCAGATGGCACTAAACTGCAGAAATAATAATAATAATAATCATAATAATGCATTTAAATGCAGCCGTTACCCCGGAAACCCTGTAAACAAAGCAGCTGCACTACTTTGTTTCTGAATCGTGTTAAAAAGATTTAAACAGCCCTATTGGTCTTTATAGTTCTTTTGCACTTTAATCTGTGTAAAACTTTTAACTTTATACATTTTTCTGTATTGCTTTATTGCATTTAAATGTTCAGTTATTTTTGTTATAAGAAAAAAAGTTATTAAACCTGTTACACTGTATTATGACAGCACTTTTTTAAAACTAAATGTCAATATCGTGATAATACCGTATACCGTGATAAAAGCATTAGAAATTAATCGCAACATGAAAATTTGATACCGGCATATCCCTAGACGTGTGACAACACCGGTAATACCGGTATCACCGCGGGGGCGTTCCCTCTTTAAATAGCTTGTAAAAGCTGCGTGCGCATTTTACTTTCACTTTCAAATCGCGGCAATTCGGCGTAAACCAATTGTTCGTTTTTATAAATAAGAAATGTAGAACGTTTATTAGCAAAACGAGTAAGAAAGCTTGGAGGCACGGCATATACACCTTGATGTAAAAAAAAAAATTAATGACACAAAGTTTAAATAAAGTAAAAATCAGCAAACAATGTGGAACCAATTAAATAAGAAACGAATGTTTATTGCCAAACAGGCGCTTTTGCATCTCGTTTTAAAACTAAATCATCCGCGATCATCTTGTCCGTCTCGCCTCACTCTTCTTGTCTGTCTGTCTAATTTTTTTACCATTTAATAATAATAATAATAATACATCATTAAACAATTATCTACTGCTAATGTTAGTTATGAACACTGCTATTTTTTGTAAATTGTGATCGCAGGGTGAGGCCCTTCAAATACTGTTGTGACAGTGTGGGCCCTGGATTTAAAAAGGACCACTGGCCTGGACTATATCATGGTACGGAATTATTAAAATAATACACAAATATACTGTATAGCATATAAACACCATGGAATTAACTATGGCAATATCCAAAACACATGGTGCATGCCCAAAAACCCAGGGCCGTTCCCAACAGAGCCGACTGGAAGCGTGATGAAATCAGTGAGTGCTTTTGGTCTGTCTTTTTATTTTGTTAAAGATGCACAATGATATGGTCAGTGCATGAACCACTGGTCAAACACTGCAGCTCTATGGTGCGTCTATTCACTGGTCTGAGGATCAGCGTCTCCAGCCTTAAATATGATATTTTCCTCAACAAAACTATAGTAGTACCATGCTTCTTTTGTTTTGGTGTTCGATGAACCAATACAATTCTGAAAGAATATCAGTGAAGTAATAGTTATGCTGCAGGCAGACAATATGATGTGCTTTACACCAGAACACACTCTCACACACACACACACACACACACACCTCACCCGGCTCCGACTGACAACTGCGCTCAGCGTTTGATGGACATCCTCCCTGGACGTCTGGAGTTTTATCAGCATATTCCAGCTCTTCTGTCATGCTGTCAATGGCGTTCTGGCAAGGACATCTACTGAGAGGCAGAGGCCGCCCTCCGGAGCCCTGCAGGAGAATAAATCACACACAAACACCCCTGAAAACACACCGACCCTCACACGCTTGATCAGCGAACCTGCAGGCTGATACTCCTCAAAATAAATGAATATGATGATCATGTCACTATGGAAACCCATTCCTGCCACATACGGAGAAAAAAAAAAAAACATGAATTCATAATTATCACATAAATGTTGATTTTGAGATTTAAAAAAAGCTAAATTATGAGATACTATGTAATAATTATGAGATAATAGCTATCACTTTTCAGTGCATAAATAATTATGGGGACATCGATTGGAGAGGAAATCGTTGTAAAGTTGTACCTGTATCTTATTATCCATTACAGTGTACAAAACAATTATTCTAGCAACAGGAAGAAAAGTCTAAACTATAAGATACTAAATTATGAGATAGAGAGTCACAATAATGAGATACTAAGTCATAATTTGAGATATTAACTCACTATCTCAACTATGAAATGTTAATGAGGTTTAAAAAAAGTCATTTCAAATTACGATACCTGTAAGTGTCAAAATTATGACATACACGATTATGAGATACTAAGCCATGAAATGTATTTTAAAAAATCTATATTATGAGATCAACCGACTCAATTATGATGCCAAGTCCTAATTATGAGATAAAAAGTTGTAACGACCAGATACTATGTTATAATTATGAAATGATTGTCAAAATTATGATTCTAAGACAATTATGAAATAAAACATCACAATTATGAGATGTCAAGTGATGATTCTGAAATATGTGTCAAAATTATAAGATACTAAGTCATGAGGTAAAAAGTAGGTACAAGTCAAAATTATGAGATAAATCATAATTATCGAGATACATGTTCTCAAATTGATGACACGGTTTTCATAATTATGAGACAAAAAGTAAAAAGTATGAGTTACTACATGATGATTTTTCTTCACTTTTTATCCCATAATTACTTTTTATATCATAATTATGATTTTTCCAAAGCATATTTGTGTTCATCAAAACTGGGCTTCTATATGTCTGTGAATTACTGGAGCAGGTTCAGTCTGATACTGTACATGTGTTTTCAGGGGTCACGCTCAGGGGGTTTTGGCAAGAATTCACGCTCTTATTTGTTTTTCTCACAGTAACATTTGTGACCCTGGAGCACAAAACCAGTCATAAGGGTCAAGTTTTAGAAATTGAGGTTTACGCATCGTCTGAAAGCTGAATAAATAAGCTTTCCATTGATGTATGGTTTGTTAGGATAGGACAATATTTGGTCGAGATACGACTATTTGAAAATCTGAGAGTGCAAAAAAAATCTAAATATTGAGAAAATCATCTTTAAAGTTGTCCAAATGAAGTTCTTAGCAATGCATATTACTAATCAAACATTAAGTTTTGATATATTTACGGTAGGAAACTTACAAAATATCTTCATGGAACATGATCTTTACTTAATATCCTAATGATTTTTGGCATAAAAGAGAAATGTATAATTGTGACCCATACAATGTATTGTTGGCTATTGCTACAAATATCCCCCAGCGACTCAACACTGCTTTTGTGCTGCAGAGACACATTTGTGATGATGAGCAAGAAGACCCCCTTAAACGGCACATACACCACCTGATTACAGCACATTTTTAATAAATATTTCAGATCTCTTTAATGTCCCGCTGTCATCTGCAGTTGGCCGTATGATAATTAAATTAATTATCCTCCAGTGTGCCTCTGCAGCGAGTGCAGAGGAGGAACAGCATTAATTCAGGGCAAACGCCGCCCCCCCCCGGTGTCCTCTCGCGGCCGGAGCGCTTTCCTCCAGAGCTCATGTCAGCGCGGATCTGTCAGCGTGACGGAGAGTCCTCTGGACTGCTGCATGTGGGAGCTTCTCAGGAATTTCCCTGCGCTGTGGGGTGAGGACGCGGCGGGGCGTGCTGAAGGCCGCATGGCTGCGAGAGTTGATGATGAGCAAGAAGACCCCCTTAAACGGCACACACACCACCTGATTACAGCACATTTTTAATAAATATTTCAGATCTCTTTAATGTCCCGCTGTCATCTGCAGTTGGCCGTATGATAATTAAATTAATTATCCTCCAGTGTGCCTCTGCAGCGAGTGCAGAGGAGGAACAGCATTAATTCAGGGCAAACGCCGCCCCCCCCCGGTGTCCTCTCGCGGCCGGAGCGCTTTCCTCCAGAGCTCATGTCAGCGCGGATCTGTCAGCGTGACGGAGAGTCCTCTGGACTGCTGCATGTGGGAGCTTCTCAGGAATTTCCCTGCGCTGTGGGGTGAGGACGCGGCGGGGCGTGCTGAAGGCCGCATGGCTGCGAGAGTTGCTTTTTTGGGCGATGTGTTTTCATCCCCTCTAAGCTCTGATCCTCCACCAACACACAGCAGAACACACGCATAAACAAACACGACGCTGTGCAGAGCCAGCAGCTGAGACTGCGGACACGGCGTGACCCAAAACACACATACAGCTTGTCTCCAAACTCCTCATGAGGAGTGAGGACAGATCCCACAATGCAACATCATCATAACAATCAAATGCACGTTATAAAGCACATAATTTTGATACAGCGTATCAGTCTGATTCACCTCAGTGAAGTTTTTCAGTGAATATGGTCTTAGATTTCAGTCTGTTCCTCACATGAAACTATCATGTGACTCCAAAACACTAGGAATACAGTGCATGAGATGGATTACTCTGGACTACTGTTATGATACGTTTATGGTGTTATTTTTGTATTTTTTGAAACTTGTCAGTAATTAAAACGGGCTTATGGAAATATTGACAGAATTGCTTTAATATTGCGACTAAAGGCTACTGTAACATTAGTCAGTGCAGTTCACATGCTGCATTATGACATGCGCATTGTGTTGAACAGTTCTGATGCATCCCTGCAGCATTCGGCAAACTGTGATAAACACTCAGGTGCCGAGCATGAGAGGAGAAATATGGGAACACACTGGCAAAATTATGAGATAAAGTTGAAAATTATAATAAATCATAATTGATATCAAATGTCAAATTATGAGATGTTAAGTCATTATGAGATCAAATAAATTTGAGATAAGCCATGATTATGAGATAAAGTTGAAATGATGATACTGTCATAATCATGAGATCAAAAGTCAAATTTTGAGATGTTAAGTCATTATGAGATAACAAAATACATTTGAGATAAGTCATGATTATAAGATAAAAATTCTAAATTAAGATACTAAGCCAAAATTATGAGATGAAGTTGAAATTATGATACTAAGTCATAATTATGAGATCAAAAGAGAAATTATGAGATATAAAAAATAAATTTGAGATAAGCCATGATTATGAGATAAAGTCGAAATGATGATACTGTCATAATCATGAGATCAAAAGAGAAATTATGAGATCTTAAGTCATTATGAGATAAACATTCAAATTTGAGATAAGCCATGATTATGAGATAAAAATTTAAAATTGAGATACTAAGCCATAATTATGAGATTAAAAGACAAGTTATGAGATGTTAAATTGTGATTATAAAATAAAAAGTCTAATAAATTATTAGATACTAAGACATAATTATATATTTTTGACTTTTTCTCATATTTATGACTTAGTACCTCATAATCTTGACTTTTTATCTCATAATGACTTGTGTCATAATTATGATTTACCAAAGCATTAATTTGTTTATCATGCTGCGAAAATGGGCTTCCACACATCTGCGAATGACAGGAGCAGGTTCATGCCACATTATAACACGAGCAATTGTGTTGAACATCAATTCTAATGCATGAGACAAACTGCGACGAACCCACAAACATGCAGAGCACGAGGGGGAAATATGGGAGCGTGTCGGCATGAACAGCGCCCACTTCCTTAAGGACATGAAAACAACAGTGATAGATGTGCTTAGAGGAAACCCTCAACACAAATCACAGATCCACACACATAACCTTGCCTTCGCTTCCTCCTGCTATCACTGCAGCCCAGCGTACCTGAGCACACACTGGATAATGTGACCGGACATGTTTGTTAAGGCAGGCCTGCTTTCAGGCACGGGTGAATATTGCAGACGTCAAAGTCGCCTACGTGAGGGAACAAAAAGAGAAGAGGACTGGCAGAGGGGCTGTGAATGAGTGTGTCGCGTTCCCTGCAGTGTGCCGCTTAACCGACTACATCAACCGCTCACAGGATTTCTGTGTATGCCGTAGAAGTGCTACTGAAGACATACTAAGAACAATGCATCATTTCTGTGAGCGCATGTCTCAGCAGTAGCAACGACACATTTTCATATAAAATTAAATCTAATATTGCACTTCAAATAGCAATATAAGCCAAAATTATCACCATATAATTTTCAGGCCAAGTTGTGGAGTTGTGCATTGTTTCTTAGTAAGCGTTTTATTTTGACATATATATATATATATATATCAATTGCGAGTGAAGTTTTTGCTGTGGTCGTCACTATATAAATGCACCTGTTATGACTTAAACATTTGCATGTAATGTTTTTTTTCCTGATTGTTTGGCGATCACATCTTTTGTTATGTTCTCGTATTAAACATCTCAGTTGAGCAGCATGAGAGAGATCGAAAATGATGGAGACGTGCGAAGCTTCTTGTTATCAAGCTCTATAGCCTAGTCTAAGCTGTGTTCTGTTAATGCGTGAACTTCATATTATTTCTAGCGCAATTGACGTCCAATAATGCAATAAGCTTTGTGCTTTGTTACATTCTAATAAACAAAGTATCA